ATTTTAAATGAATAATAAAAACTGAGATAAAAAATTTACTTAAGCCAGAATTTAAATTTTACTATGGTAAAATAAATATTCAAACCACATGTGTTACAGCTAAACCCCCGTTACTTTGTGCATCACACTCCCCTATATTATGTCACACTTCACACTTCTCTAGTAAGTTTCGTCTGTGTGTGAAGACAGTAGCGCAGATCTGTGAATGAATGTTCCGAAGTGAAATAAACTAAATTTTTGGACACACGAATGGGAAAGTGTCCAAACTTTTGACTGGTACTGTACTCTAATATGCACAAAGAATATCGGCCGATATATCGGTATCGGACTTTTTTTTACTCCCTAATATCGGTATCGGCCCCAAAAAAAACATATTGGTCGGGCTCTAGTCTTAATCTAAGCAAGCTTTAAAGAGGCCACATAAGGAGCTGAAATCATTTCATTCCACTTCAAGCCAGGAAACAATCCCAACCTCACTGTTTGTAAAACACATGCATTTCAATCTGCAATGAAAATGAGATTTGTCCCCTTTAGTTACAGTGATTCATTGTGGAGTGAGTGTCTGTGTGTGTGTGTGTGTGTGTGTGTGTGTGTGTGTGTGTGTGTGTGTGTGTGTGTGTGTGTGTGTGTGTTTTGGAGTAAGAGGTTGAGCTTGTTACTGTGTTGTGAGTTGTGTAAATTGTATACATGTGTGTCTTAGTAAGGCAGAGGGGGCTGATGAATTCTCCAAGCTCTCCTGTGCCCATATGGGTAATGATCTCCGAGTACAGGGGTCGCCTCTGTCCCTGCTCATTCTGCACATGATAAATGAGGGCTCCTTTGCCACCCATTTGATTGCAGTCAAATTTCATGATCTACTTAAAACAATGTAGCCCATTTTTTTATGTACCTCCACAATGATCAAAAGTATTCCCAAATTCATTAGTGATGACTATTATTTTTTTTTTAAACGTTTTAAAGTAGTATCAGCCATGTCTCCAAAAAGGGACATCCTTTTTGTAATAATTTTTTTAATTATATGAATATTTTAAAATTACAAGCTGTTGTGCTCAATCAGCCTCTTGATTTAAAGTACTATGCAATGACCCTTACCATCACGACTGACAGGGCTGTACGTTAACTTTTTTTTCACATAGCACTGGTGCTACAGAGGTTGAAAGTTTTGTAGCACAGGCCAAAAAGTTGTAGCACACGTATAAAACGTCTGTTATCATGTCTGAAAACAAACACAAGTAATGGAGTTCATCACCATTCAAAAATCGTCATATCGCACACCCCTAACTACCAAGTATAATCAATCTCACACACACAAACAAGCACAACGAAATCACTTCACACTATTAAGCGGCTGTGTTATGAACATGCAAAATTGTATCGCACCCGTGCTACAGTGGTAAATTTATTCATCGCACAGACCAGTTTTTTTGTAGCACGTGCGACATATATGTCGCACTGTACAGCCCTGAATATAAGAATTGATTGTCAGCCAAGTGACTTTATAAAGATCTCCCAGTATCTGTCTGTACTTGTAACTCATGTGTTCTCGTGTCAGGCCATATAGACCTATAGATTAGACCGCCTTCTATAGTTAGGCTTGGCTCTGATGGAGACGGATGGTTAAAGGGCAGGATAATGAAATGAGAAAAAGCTTCACACTCAGAGACAGATCAGCAGTGTGAGATGGCAGTGCAGGCTTCATCTACTTCCTGTTTTAACTTGTGCTTTTGTTGCTTTAAAAATAAAAATATCCCCTAATAGAGAATGATGCCTGTATAAAGCATTAGACCTGCACGTCCATCATGGTTTTAACATCCAAATTGATTTTTAATAATGGGTGTGCCGTTATGGACCTCAGCTGTAGGTAAGGGACATGATTAGTTTGCATGTCAGTCCTCATTGTGGTTTCCTTAGTAACTTAACTCTTAATTGAAATGACATTATTCTTTCCCTAGATGATGTCATTGGCATTATTCAGCCAGCATACCACTGCAAAGCAGAGATGAGGTGTGTGTTTAATATTTTTAAAACCGTCTCCCACACACTCAACGGGACCTTGGTGATTTTCTGTTTTGAACTTACCCAGCCACCCCTCTCCTGCTTTCGTATTAAATCACAGCCCAGCTCACTCTGTCCAAAACCATTTCTCCATCTCCATCCATATAAAGGAAGAGTAAAACCCTCTTTTTTTCCCCAAGGGAATTAAATAACTTTTAGAAAGTGGTTTTCTATTAGTGATGCACCGATACTGAGCTCCTGTACTCGTACTCGTACTCGTTAAAATGCCCCGATACCAAACGCCGATACCACACAGCATGTGATAAGTGCCATATTCAAACAAAGAAACACCAACAACAGACAGCAGAAAGGAGTTAAGGATGTCTACTACAAAGTATATGTATGCAATGAATATAATGTTAAACATTCAGTATTAATGCCTGTATAGCTGGTGTGCGCGAGCTGATAAACAAAGCGCGCTGAGTGGATTGAGCGCGCGGCGGCGCAGATTCCGTACCAAAAATAAAAGTATCGGTATCGGGCGAGTACTGGAAAAAGTGGTATCGGTGCATCCCTATTTTCTATAAAGCACCACGCAATGAATATTCATGCTGGAGCGGGTCGGGCATGACTTGGGGGAAATGTTGTATTCTTTTGTAGGGCCGGTGACGGCATACGGGCAAGTGAACCACAGCGATTTATGAAGCTGTTAAAGAAAAACAGCAGGCATGGAGCACAGGATTGTGCCTAGGAGAACGCTGGCGCAACGTTAAATCAATACTGTAGATCAGTGCTCCATCTGGCTGGAAAATGAGCGGATCACCATAAATATCTCGCCAAGCGCCTTGCCACACAATCAATGGTGGCCATATTGATTTAGTTATTGCGAGTTCATATGCTGTGGACAGTGTTAAATATACATTCAGCAGCTGAGAGGCATTTGTCTAAGGGACGTTTAGTGAAACCCTGAGAGGTGAGAAGTTGGGGGAACTGGTGCAAGTGTGACCTCAGAGGACTAAGGAAACTCGGTGCCCTGTTTATTAATAAGATTGAATGGTAGTACAATAAAGAAAAAAAAAAACATTAGTTCATATTGACATCATGGTCTTTCTGTAGTAGTGATGACTGTTTCCAGTTGGCCGTCTGTTTTTAATTTTGCATTAGTGTTTTTGGGAGTTAGCAGTTGTGTTTGTCTGAACTGAAGCTGTGTGGTAGCTGTGCAAATGTAAATTGCAAATTTGTGTGACTGCACTACTTTTAAAAAGTAATTAGCATTCCACTGTTTTCAGTTTTATGTATGAGCCAAACTGTTTTGTAGTGCTCTAATTTAACCAACTTTGATTAATTTTTTATTTATTTTTTACCTGCAGGATAACAGAGGACTCCACAGCGACCACACTGGAGGCACTAAAGGCCCGCATACGAGAGCTGGAAAAGCAGATCCTCAGAGGAGACCGATACAAGTGTCTCATATGCATGGTGAGAATTCTCACTTGCCAATATTGTGCGCGTTCATGTGGGTGTGTTTGGTTATAAACCATCCTTAATAACATGCCGTGGTGATATAACCTAACACCCGCAATCATGCACCCAGCCAGCTGAAGCTTTGTGATGGTTTGCCTCCTTCAGCTTCAATCTCGCATAGACTGGAAAATTATTACTGCACATTAAGGTTCTGTTGAAGGAGTTCTGCCATCCTGTTGGATATCTATGCTAAACCTTTTCAGCTTTAATCCTGTAGGTGCTTCTGACTAATCTGACATGCCTCTGTTGGACTGGAGGTAGATTAGTTTCGTTAAAATGAAATAAAAATATCCTTAAAGTCATACAGAGGTGCAAATTGATCAGTTCTGGCCTTGTTAATAAAGAGACTTGGAAATGTTTTGATGATTTAATTGGAAAGATTCAAGACATTTTTCTGTTTGCTTCTGTGTCTGCAGTCTGTTGAGGTTTTCCCAGTGGTGGTCTACTGCCACCTGCTGATTGTTGGATGTATAGCAGACCAAAAAATTAATTCTCAGTAAATTATTTGGACTAAAAGTGCTAGAAGTGTTTCAGACAGCTTAGCATGATATCCAAACTGAATATTCACACAAAAATGCAACAGAACTCACAACCATCCCTTTTATCCTGGCTCAGTGTTGGCCGAGAGCTTCTGTTGATAGCTGCACCCGTTGGTCTGATGTGTGTGTCTGTGGCAGCCACATTCTTGTTCTCAGTGCCGCTCTTGAATATCCATGCAGCGGAAGCCGACCCAAACAGGGGCTGATGGCAAGAATCAGGCAGTCGAGAGGCACGGGAGCACAGAGGCCCTGCAGCTTGGCGTGTACTGTTTGTACAGAGGCTACGTAACGGGCTGCAGCACTGCCACTGCGGGCAGCAGTGGGATTAGGAAGCTGCTGCCGCTTCGGAGGGTAAGGCTCTCTGTGCTCCCATTGGCCTGACCCCTGCACTGCCCCACACGCTCCCTCACTGCCCACCTGCCTGCCCCCCATGGCCGATTTGTGCTGTGCTGGTGCTGTCTAGTGACATCTGATGTTGTGTATGTGGGTGGCTAGATGTGAATTATGTTTAGCTGACCTGGTTAAATTAATCATTTCTCTTTTTGTCTTTTGTTTCTCTATCTCAGGACTCATATACAATGCCACTCACCTCCATCCAGTGTTGGCACGTGCACTGTGAAGAATGCTGGCTAAGGACTCTGGTAACAATTACACACTTGCTGTTAAATAGGCTGTTTTCTGCAGGTTTAGGCAGTATCTGAAAACCTATTGTTTGTTAAATTCTACACGTTGCTTCGTAATACATATGTATTTGTTTTTAAATATTTGGGCTAAATAGATGATGCTGATAGTTAAGAATCAGGATATTTAGGGGTGTGCACAAATAGTCGAATATTCGATCTGTAATTGTTTTTTACAGTTATAACTAAATGTACTGGGTGGAGCATGTTAACAAGTTGGTTGTATTTGATCACAGAATGTTGCCGTCTGCCTCATGAAGTTTGGAATTACTTTGATCAAAATTAGGGCTGCACGATAAATCGCATGCGATATTTAACGCGCATCTTATCAGTAAAGCCGTTTCTGTAATCAGCGGTAAATCTCCATCACCTGCGTGCCTTCACATTGAGCAGCATTAACTACACAGAGCCGTTGTTCACTGACGAGCTGCGCAAAAAATCGCGCGAATATGAACGTGGTTTTGCGCAACTCGTCAGTGAACAACGGCTCTGTGTAGTTAATGCTGCTCAATGTGAAAGCCCGCAGGTGATGGAGATTTACCGCTGATTACAGAACCGGCTTTCTGACAAGATGCGCATTAAATATCGCATGCGATTTATCGTGCAGCCCTAATCAAAATGATCTTACTAAATGTTCTTACAAAATTGAATTACTTTTGATCAAATTAATCAGTGAAACTGAGTTATATCACCACCACAATGAGAAATCACATGAAATCCAAACACCAGTGGACTGTGGAAAGACAGCTGTCCATCACTGCATTCACGACTGCAGATAAGCGCAGCTGTGAGCCGAGGAGAGAGCTTATCTGACAGCAAAATGATATTGAGACATGTGCTTCCTTTAAGTTTCCTCGAGGGAGAGTGGTTTAAGAACAGAAAGCACAAAATGCTGTAAGAAACTTAGCATACCGTTATCTTTGTGTCTCTGGAACGCATGTGTCAGAGCGCGTTCTTATTGTTATCAGACTGTGAAGCCAACTTTCACCCGAGCATGTGGATACATGTTTTCAACTAAAAGAAAGCCTTGAGATATAACGTAACGTTGTTGTAGAACATTGTTGTGTATAATGCCTAATCACAAGCTTGTTCAGAAATGGTGAAAAAAGCTTGAATATTAAAAAAATAACATCTTTCTCGTTAAACGTCATTTAAATAAACAAATATTCGAATATTCTTTTTTTTTATGAGGCCATATATTTGAATACAATAGGATTTTACCAAAAAAAAATTTTCCAAACGTTTTTTTTTCCCCCCCTAATGTTTATACCTACATTGCTGTAATAGTAGGTAAAATGTTAAATCATGCTTTCTTACAAAATATAAGTGGGTTTTTATACATGAATAAATATATATATATATATATATATATAGCTTCCTATATATTAAAAAAATAACATCTTTCTCGTTAAACGTCATTTAAATAAACAAATATTCGAATATTCTTTTTTTTTATGAGGCCATATATTTGAATACAATAGGATTTTACCAAAAAAAAATTTTCCAAACGTTTTTTTTTCCCCCCCTAATGTTTATACCTACATTGCTGTAATAGTAGGTAAAATGTTAAATCATGCTTTCTTACAAAATATAAGTGGGTTTTTTTATACATGAATAAATATATATATATATATATATATAGCTTCCTATATATTTTTGTAAGGTGGTCCATCAAAAAGCAAAATCGGTATAATAAATTGTTTATTTTTTCTTAATTTATTTTAAAGGTTTTTGTTTATATCACCATCGCTGTAATAGTTGGTAGAAAAAAAGATGTGCAAATACTAGATATTTTAGATTATATTTTTAATAATTTGAAAGCTTTTTTAAAGAAATCAAGCTTATTTGTCTCACATTATAAATAGTTTTTTATATATAAAAACATAACGCTTCCTTTTTATTCTTGGAAGAGGTCCCTCACAAGAGGTTCATCATATTGAAGGGTCTTTGGTTTGAAAACCCCTTCATTAAGCAACATACATCATATGGCACGCATCACAGGCTGTTCCTTGGTTTACTTTAAGTCACATCTTTGTACATTCCTCATACTGAAGTGTAACTGAAAATAGGGGTATTGCAGATGTAGATGGTTTAAGTTTTGAAATGCAGGTAGTTCGTGTACATATTAAATTTCAACTCTGTGCACCACAGAGTTGCCCAGACCTTCTCATACAGTGATGAGTCACTCATGGCCTAGGCCAGTGTATAATGCGGATAATAAAGTAGTTTATTTTGATAATGCTGTGGTATCTGGCTACAGTGTAAGTTGAAGAGTTCTTCTCAACCAGTCCAGTGAGATTCCTCTTGTAGCGCTCCAGGTTCTAATCCCTTTAGACGGCATTGCGTGTTCAACTAACCTCTTATCAGAATTGCAGTTGCCTCTACTTGTCCATTTGTCATTCCCACACTTACACTCGCTGGCTCTTCCTCTTTTCTAAGCTGTTTTAGCCAGTCTTCCTCGGGGAGCCCACTCTCATTAGCGACTAACACATTCTGTCACCACACACGGAAGCAATTAATAAGGAAATGTTTCCCAGCTTCAGCCGTTTTCCAATATGCTATATATTAAATCAGCTCCTTCCATCTCCACTCATCACAAGGCCTTCTGTGTACGGCTTGCCGACGAGGGGAACAGAGACGTGTGTGCACGCCAGCCCGCGCTGCCACAGCGGATTGTTAGTAATGCAGGCATTAAAATTGTTGCCTAAAGACAGCAATAAAAGTAGCACGGCAGGGCTCCTTGCATCTTGATCAAAGTAAATGTGTGTAATTTGGTTAGCGTCAGCCTTGTTTTATGAAGCTAATGGAGCGCAGCAGCTACCCGCCGCTGATGCGAGGAGCCCACGTTTAGTACGTAACCTGCCCACGCTCATTAAAACTAGGTAAACTCCTGCTTCTTAGAACAAAGGAACCAAATCTCAGGTCCTCTTTGTGTCTGGGGAATCGTGGCTATAGAAGGAAGCACGCTGGGGGTTTTGCTGCTACACTGCTTTGGGTTTTACTCAAAAATGAGCCTAAAATTAACCTGATTCATGTAGGGAGTCAGAACTCCAACTTCAATCCAACTTCAATTTCACAGTTTTACTCCTTCAAGCCGGCCACATCAAAATAAACCACTCACATAGTCAGACCATGATGTCAAATTTGAAACCATTGCGATTATTTGCACCGTCCAATGTTAGAGCTCATTGTTACAACATAACAAGCCAGATTGTGTGTGGCTGGATCTCTTTGTTTCAGTCTGTACAGTCAGGATCAGTGGACCGGCTTCTGGTGCCCTAGACATGAACTGAATCGTATGGAGCCACAAATCCTCTCAACATTCAGATGTGAAGGCACACTGTAGAGTTCACGCTCTGACACCCTTACTGCTCCCAGACTCCTTAGTTTGCTAACAGCAAGTCTAGAGCAAAAAGTCTCTTTCCTGTACGTTAACCCCTCCGCCCCCCACATGCACATATTAGTTCCTATAGAAGTTGTAGCAGTGCACTTCATGTGTATGAGGAGAAATACTCCTTGTGTGTGATCAGTGGCATATGTGCGAGAAGGTTACACGAGGATGTGATCGCCAATGGTTGTGAGATTCCTCACAGTGACGGCGCTGTCTGAACTTCACCCGACTGTTGGGTTCCTTTCACGGGGCAACACACAAACGTGAGGATTTTATAACCCTTGTGCCTTGCTGTCTATGTCTCTGTCAAGTGTTGTGGTATTTTTGAAGCCGAATATATAGTTTGCTGACTTTAAGAGCAGATCCTGTTGTGATGTTCAGTCGTTCCCTGTGTAGCATGTGTGTGGTGCAGACAGCAGACCACACAGCTCACCTTCCTCCTCCTCTACCTCTCCCTGCTGCTCTCCTGCTTTTATGGTGCAGACTTTATGGGTACTGGCTGAACATCAGAGTGGTAGTGGGAAAGGCGCATGCTTGTCGAACAGGGTGGGCCGCCCATGTAAGGCCCCGTTTTTATGTCTACATACACACACTATTAAACTACACTACCTTTCAAAAGCTTGAGCTCAATAAGAGAGCGAGAGATAAATTATTTTATTTAGCAAGGATTAAAGTGCATTAAACTGCTCGACAGTAAAGAAATGTAAAAAGTTACAATAGATTTCTATTTTAGATGAAAGTAACCTTGAAAAAAAATAATCAAGGTTTTCCACTAAAATATTAAGCAGCACAACTTAACATTGGTTTATTAACATTGATAATAAAAAGAAATGTGTCTTGAGCACCGAATCAGCATATTAGAATGATTTCTGAAGGTTCATGTGACACTGAAAACTGAAGCAGTGGCTGCTGAAAATTCAGCTTTGCCATCAAAAGAATAACTTACATTTTAATGTATTAAAATAACAGACATCCCCAAACTTTATAAATGCTATTGTAGACTGAGACAAAAATGCTTGTACAACAAGAGCACCTTGCTAGCATATCATTTTGCATTTTTAATCTGAAATGACCACCTTCTCAATCTTCTTTTTTGTGTTTCTCTTTCAACAGGGAAACAAGAAACTCTGCCCACAATGCAACACCATCACGTCGCCAGGGGACCTCAGGCGTGTCTATTTGTGAGCAGAACAGCCCGGATTTTTTTTTTGTTTTTGTTTGACTTTTCGTTTCCATTTTTGCTAGTGTTTTTGGTTTCCCCACTGCCTGAGGGAGTGAAGTGTCATCCTGACCATGAGAGGCTCGAGTACAGACTCACAATGACTTTAAATGGGGACTGACTTCACAAGCATTGGACTAATGAAGACTGTAGACTATAATGGCTTATGTGAAGAGTCTTCCCGCCTCCCTCTTGTGTTGGTCCATGGTCCACCCTCTCCAAAGTCAGCTTGGTTCCTTAATGAGGAACCTGTTCTTCTCAGATGAAGGAAAGAGTACTCATTCTGTCCCTCCACCCGCGCTTCTGCTGCTCTTCGTCTCCCACTGTCGCAACTTCTTCACCAAGACCACTGACGTCAACCCGACTGGAACATCAGCCTGACGATAAGAAGAGACTTTAAATGGACCACCCGAGGCTCTCCAGAACCCCTCGATCTTGATTCTTCATTGTGTTCTTATTCGCCCCAAATCATTACTTCTTTTGTGGTGTTCTAGTGATGTCAACCAAATTCAATGAATCAGTGCAAGCACATGTATAATAGTCTCTGTATGTTTACAGTGTTGTGAGTAAATGACATAGAGAACAAAACACACTTGTATACACACGCGCACACATGGACATACACATGCACATACAGAAGTATATATTGAATAAAAGTCCCGATTTAGTTGGGTGTGGTTTGGGTCGGGAGGGAGGGGATATGTTTAAATCTTGGTGAATTTAAAAAAAAAAAAAAAACAGAAAAGAAAACCCTCTGTATTTTCAAAGCAGATGTTGTCTTGAAGTTGAAGTATTTCATTGTACAGGAAGAAATTTAAGTAATAATAATAATAAACTACTCGAACTAGGAATTAAAAGATTTAGGTGTACATTTTTCATTGAAATATGCAGTAAAAACTAGATTTAATCCTGAAACAAGGGAAAGTATCTTTCTTTTTCTTTGCTTTTTTTCTAAGAAATGGAAATATTTGCTTTTATTCACCCACGTTTTTGACTTTAATGCTGAATGCTGTCTGTCTGTTACAAACAATTGAAATTATTGCTTATTCATTCCATTGAACATACAGTATTAAGACCCCTGACCAGTTGCATATCAGTTTCTTCCCTCAGAAAAGGGACTTTTCTGAAAACATCAAACACTTAGGGTGGTTTCATTTATAAGTTACGTTCCGATTTCCTCTGAGACTTCTTTGGTTTTTCCTCGAAGAATGAACTGGAAGAGTCAAGACTCGTTTCCCTGACTGGCCGACTGACTGACTGCTCACGTTTTTCCCTAGGATTGAGACAGTGTGCTTTATATTTGTACATCTATGTATTCTGTGATTTCTGTATTGATGTAGGCGCAAAAAAAGGAAGAAATTAAAGGTGATTGCTGATCCCAACGCCACAATAAACAGTCAAATGTTGCATTTGTTATAACTTATTTCACTGTTCTTTAAATCTTCAGCATAGCTGGGTCACAGTCAAGTACTGTAAAAACAGCTGTACCAATATCCTCAAGATTTACACTTAAAATCACTTTCCAGATGTAAAATACCTCTCTGCAACTATTTTGTAAAATACGTGTAGTAAATGAGGATTAGGGTTGACTGTATTCTTCCTTTGCCGAACAATTCGTTCCTGCCCCAAAGATGACAGATTGCACAAGATGATTGTGTGATATGATTTGTGTCCTTGTATATTCTTGAAAATGGTATGTGTCTTTCCCGTTTGTAAGCTACATTTGACATCAGTTAAATGACTAAATCTGAACTGAGCTATGTGCTGGCGTCATTCACTGTCAAGTGGAACTATACCAGTTTGAATACTCTAGAAGTGCAGCTGGTTATCATGTTACCACATGCTGACATAGCTTTTGAAGTAAATCAGTCGATATTTATCCATTGAGTTTCAGGCAGCAAAACAACTTCCTAACACATTGTAATTTTTTAATATCGATGTGCATTACACTGCATCTGGGTAGAGATAATAATGAGGTTTTGACACTATCCCATTGATTTTATATCTTCCCCGACACTAAGTGTATCGAATTAGGTCTTTTTGGGCCTAATTTTGGACCTTTTTGGAAAAAGGAAGCGTTAGTGTTCAATTCTGCCATCTACAGGCTATACCCAGGTGACATTTTACCTGAACAGTATCAAAGCATAAGCACCACACACTTTAATGATAATTAATGACCACACACTGCAAATAAATCTAATGAAATTGCAAGATGCAATTAAGAAGTCATCTACCTCCGCTGTAAAGCCTCTGATCCTAGGCCAAACTCTAGGTGCATGCTGTATTGGAGCAGCGTTGAGAAAACAGTAGCAGGGTCCATAAGCATGTTCAGATGCTCGTAAAATGTTGATAGATATGTTGGAAAATCAGCAGGAGTTTCTATTAATTATTTTAAGCCTAGCTCCAACCTCTTGTTGGAAGTGTTTGTGGGTTCTTTTGAAAGGAATGAAACAAGCTTGGAAAGCTTGTAAGTAAACAGCAGTTATGTTGTTGCAGTTTATGGACTTAATTATGGTGCACATACAAGTGAGGCCATTTATATTTTGTGAATCAGTAGTCAGTTGTCTAAAGTTGCAGTGGGGTTGAATTGTTAACTAAAACTAAAATCATAAAATTTAAGTAAACTAAAATAAAGCTCAAAATATGAATATTAGATACTTAATGAAAATCTGAAATGTTGCCTTGGTAACGAACTGTAATAAGTTTAAGTACAAAAATGACAAACTGAAATAAAAACAAAAAATGTATTTATTAAAATATAAAATAAATGTACATTATTTAATTTTTACATTGATACATTTTGTTTTATTTACATTTCATTTGTTTATATATAAACAAATTCTGAATGCTGTCAGTCGATTAAAAACTTAATCACATTTTTCTGTAATTAATTGTGATTGATCACATATTAATATATTTGTATTGTCATAATTTCTCACTGAATCTCCAAATTAATGTAGAAACATTTATATTTTAAATATCTGTTTAATGGCATCTTTTTACCAAGTAGCCTATTATTAATGAAGGACTGTATCATTGATACCAATACTACTGATGTCTCTATACAATGCCTTTTCCCTCAATTATAGCAACTTTTAATTTGAGTGAACTAAAACAGTTTTCACAAACTATAAATTGTATATGCATAAACTATGAACTGAATATAGATTACGTTTTTTTCAAGTTACAAATGTTAATCAGCGAGCAGAGCAGTGAGTGATTTCTCTTTTTCTTTTGTTCTTTGATTTACATCAATGGCACAGACTGCAGCAGGTTTCACTTTAAAACCAGTGTTGTCTCTGTAAAACCTGATGGACATGACGCAGATTTGACAAACATCGGATTTTCTCCCAACTCTTTATGGTAATTTAGGATTTTTAACTCAATTAAGACGGTGTTTATGAAGTCACTTGCCAAAAAAGGGCATTTTGACAATTTTTTGGTGTTTTTACATAGCCAGTAAGTGGTCTTTTGCGTCTTATCATGCTTTCATATTTTATGTATTTGTTCAATATTTCATTTTCAACAATATTTGTTCAATATATAATAATATTTTTACTGTTTTCTCTTAAAAAAAAAACTGGTTAATATAGTCTACTTTAACAGTATGCTGTATATATATATATATATATATATATATATATATATATAAATAACACTCTTATAATTACAATGTTATACAGATTACACTGTTTTTTAAGTTGTTATTGATGTAAAAAAAATAGAAATGTCATGTCTGAGACTGTTGTAACGACTCATTTACTTCTACTGGATCCACAAAGATTAAACAAAAAGAGTGAAATATGAAATTGATTAACACACAATGTTTATGTTACGGGGCAAACAAGACGTGAGACGTACGGGTCCATTTGTAAGCTTTATTAAGGGCGTGGTCAAAACAGGCGAGGGTCAGGCAGTGGCAAACAGGTATATAGAAGACAAAACAAGAGTCCAGTAAACAAGCGAGGGTCAGTCGACGGCGAACGTAATCCAACAGGAGCGAGACTAGAGGGATAATCCAGGTACAAGGCAAAGATCAGAACACGAGAAAACAGACAAGGAAAGACTAAGATAAGGCTAGGAAAACTAAGCAGGCTCCGTAAGGTAGCTATCAGCTATAGCAGTGATACACGCTAAACAATACTCTGCAGTTTGAAAAGGATCTGAGTGGGTGTAATATAGTGAGTGTGAGATTAGTTACAGCTGTGTGCAATCAGTGCAATGGATGATGGGATATGTAGTCCGGGATGACATGCAACAGTTTGTGTAGTGTGAGAATCAATGTAACGGAAGAGTGACCTCTGGTGGCGATTGAACGGAAGTCCATGGACCTGATTCGTGAGTTTAATTGTTAGTTCATATTTTATGTATTTGTTCAATAAGTTTTCCAACTTGTTTGCTTTAGAATATTATTTTTCCTATTTTATGTATTAGTTAAAAACTTTTTGTAAAAAACAAAAACATGTTCATATAGTCTGCTTTAACAGTATATAATATACTGTTATAAAAATGACACTGTTTTTCTCTGAACATTATTGATCCTGTTCATAATAAGGCATCTGATAGCTGGTTGATGTCTATGTTGTATCCTCAGTATTGGTGATATCTTCTAGGGACAGGGATTTAAAGGTTACCAGAGGTCAGAATGGGGTCCGGGCAGTAGGTGGTTATGTGTCTCCTATGTAGTGGTGAAAGAATGTAACTGTGGTTGGATCATCTCACCTCTCTACCATCTAACCCAAGTCTTTACTTACTGTCAAAGACTGTGTATTCCAGACAGCCGCGCGATCCATAGAGTGCATTAGGCAGGCTGCGGGCTGGGCTCGGGTTACTGCCCGCCCTGTGGCCTGAGTGGCGCTAGAACCAGGAAAGAAGCCAGATGAGTAGAAGCAGATCTATAGAAATTGCTTTTGGAGGTCAAATCCATCCCTGATGAGGTGTATAAAGTGTGGGGGCCATTATAGGCAGTTTACAAACATCTCCGCAGACCAATCAATAGGACAGGCCTTCTCTGCTGTGTTGGGTAATTCCTCGATCGCATTGGCTGTCTGTACCAATGGTAATTTACACCTTCATGTGGGAATTTTACCGTGTCTCCACCCCTTCAGTGTCCACTACTTCCTGGTTGAAGTGCTTGTACAACTCATTCTATGAGGATCCTCTCCTCTACTCAGCCTCTTTATAAGATCGATCCACTCGAGGTGCTTGACAGAAAAAAAGGCTTTGGGTATTTTGTTATGCGCTGGGGTAGGAAATTGAGGAATGTTTGGCCATCTGGCATATTTTTTAATTGTTCATCCAGGTTTAGTGCTGCAAAATAGCATCTCCAGAGTGTATTTAAACTCCACACATTTTCATATTTTCAGGAAGCCAATATAATGAAAATTTTCTGGTTGTGCATTAGGTCCACTTGACCATAAGTGGATAGAGACAGATTTAATTCCCTGTAACACAGACAACTGCTTTTGGTCACAAAGTTATTTTTGCCAACCAGGAGCGGAACTATAAAAATGTTTCCAAACTACTGTCACCAAATAATGTCAATATAGGAGAGACTGGGGTTGAAAATTAGGTACATGGAATGAAATCACCACCATACATGACCGCCATCCAAAATTAATACTTTTATTCAGCAAAATTAAAATCTGACTAGAATTAAACTGATCAAAAGAGACAGTAAAGACATTTAGAATCAGAATCATAAAGATCTTTATAGCCAGGTAACACATACAAGGAATTGATTATGGTGACAGGAGCTTCCACAGCACAAAAAGAATGACAGTGACAAGGCACAGATAATTAAAATAGAATAAGTAAATAGGAAATAGCAATATACAACATTTTTTTGAAGAAAACACAATATACAAAATAGACAATGTATCCAACACCAATCGAGGTGGGCACAGAGAGCTGGGTTAATTTGGACTGGAGGAGGTTTGGGATGATAGTGTTGAAGGCCGTTGAAGACCATTTATATTGTTTCAAAAGAATTATATTTCAGATAAATAATTATAAGAATTATATTTCAAACAAATGCTATTATTTTGAACTTTCTATTGAATTAAATTGAATTAAAATGGAATGGGTTCAGCAGAACTAATACAATAATGCACACAGCTTAGGGACAAGTTGTAGGTTTCAACGTTATTGATTAAATGAAATAAATAGCACAAAAACACAGTTCCATATTCCAAAGTCTTATCTGCTCATTTGGCAGCGCATGGAACTTAAGGCACCATTAAAACTCTTTACGGATAGTTATAGTTTATGGATGCAAAATGTCCCCCTTTCTTTTGTCTTTCACAAGCTGCCTGGAGGAATTAAATGCTTGTGTTTTTGTCAGTGTTTGAAAGCGTTGTTCTCTAGTTTACATCGTAGCTAAAGCCGTACTGAATTGTTCTTATATTCACCAATGCTGA